AACGAGTAGACATAGAAATGTCAAATTAAGCTAATTGCAGTTTTTGGAAAGTCCATTCTTGAGAAAGGAATAATAATTTAATATGGTAAACTTGGGGTATTTTTTTTTACCTCCAGTCAAAAAAAAAAACCAAATACCCCGAAAGTTTCGGCTCGAACAAAACGGTTCTTACAGTCGGCTTATGAAAAATACTGAATGCAGGAAAATGGGGAAATTTTGGGGGCAGAATAAGAATCTCCCCCTTTGCCTAAATTTGCAAACGTGGAGGCATTGACGTCATTTAGCCAGAAGCATCTTGACACAAAAAATAAATATCCCCGAAACCCACGGAACTTTACCACTTTAGAAAGTACGAATGTAAAAAAAAGCACATGTTTCAAATGAATGAATCACTTTCTTACATCGTCGCTGAAGGCGCGACGATTACATACCTTACATGCGATATGTGTACGCACTTGAAGGATCTAGTTGACGGGCCAAGTCCCCGATACGAGAGAGAGCGATGCTTCAACATTTTCTATTTTAAGCGTGGAAGAGACTTGGCATTTGGCAAGGAGGATTCAGTCGCCCCAAATTTGGAGGAATCTCCAAAATCTCAAAAAAATTTTCCCGCAGTTGATGATATGATCTGGACTCACGGCATCTTCCTCCGAGATCGGCCAGGAATCCAAGGTCGCATTCGCACAGGAAATCCTGGTCGCCTTCTGGGTCGGTGCAGTTGGCGTTGAACACGCAGTCGTTTGGCGCCTCCGTGCAGTTTTCGCCGGCTTTCATCCCTGCGGGGGATGACGGGGACTTCATTTTCGATAAGTCATTTTGAAGGTGCGGTGAGCATGCGTCCTCCGTGCCAGCAAATAACATGACTTACTTAACTAACAACTTACTTAAATAACATAACCATCTTAGAAAAGGAAGCTGTTCACTTCGATTCATTTAAGCGTTTCCAAATAATATCTCAGTTGATGGAAATGAAAGAGATTCCAGAATGGATCGTTCCAAAGGAAGACATAAGGAACACCAAGATGAGTTAAAGCCAAGTGGCTCGAAGATTCGTGGCAGGAAATTTCTCTAAATTGGCGAGTATTCCATTCCAGACCAAGGTTCGTCATCTCTTTCCTCTGAAGGCATGAATTAATAAGAATATCGCCCATAAAAATGAAAGAATTAGTCTTTTTTTTATTAAACAGGGCAAGGCAAAAGTGAGAGAACATAGGAATTTTCGAAGCATTTAATTTTCCTTTCAGACTTTCACTAAGTTACCAGAAGTATTTTTTCTTTCAACCTCCTTCATCACCTGGAATTTATTTTTCCTGCCAGCGAGGACACTGCCGGTTTCCGAAATTTCGCTATCGAATCCGAAATGCAGCGGGTTTTCATGGGAATCATTCTCGTTTGCCGCATATTGCTTTTTTTTGCATAAAATTTTTTTTGCCGCATATTGTTTTTGCGGAAATCGTTACCCCACTCGTTTTTCGGTGCCATGAACCATTTTCACTTCACTTCGCAACACTCGGCTACAAATGTCGCCCCTCAAATAATGGAAAAATTGCGCAAACTCAAGCATGGAGGTCACCAGCAGCGAAAATGTTACATTATCACTAAATGTGCCATACTGCATTTGTTCCTGACGGGTAAAATTCGTTCATTCGTAGCCAATTTCAGCGGACGCGGCGAGCCCCAATTTTCAACAATTGTTGAAAATTGTTAAATCGAATGAAAAAGTGGTAAGGAAACTTGCTTCCACCAAGCAGTCACAATGGAAATTAAGTTCCCTCAAAGTTCCTATGTTCATTCACTTTTGCCCCACCTTGTATATAATTTGTAACGCTCTCATCACATTCATGGATATGATGGAAATGTAAACATGGAGTGACTGATTTTGGACTACAGATGCCATCATTGTTCTCCCGTGCATAGTGATGTGCATAGTGATTCAGCTTAGGTGTGAAGAGATTTCCATTTTTCAACGTTTATTTTTAAAATAAACATTAACAATTTCAGCCCTGGCAATTTAAATGTGATATGGGCGTACGGACGTCATATGACCGCTACAGGGCTCAAAGTTTAAATATACAGGGTGTTAAACATAAATGTATATGTAAATATACAAACAAAAAACAGAGCTACCATGTTTGATGAGTTGTCAATCTGATTTTAGGCTGCCGATTCAGGTGAAATTCGGTAGACACACAGGGTGACCGAAATGGAGTTTTTGTGCCGAGTTTCAAATCAAAATTCCAAAAACTGTGAGAATAGCAATTAATCTACTTTTCATCACCAAAATAGTAAGTGTTCATTTTTTCTTTAAACTTACCATTTCTGGCAAAAAAAAAGACCTAACAGAACTAAACTGATCAAAATGCACTAATGCCAAAAACAAAAGCATACAATTTGGTTTGGGTAGGTTCATTTCAACTGGAAAGGTGGCTTCCGGTTCATCCCGGCCTCAAGTTCACGTAGATATTTTCGACAGCAAGTTCTTGTCGTGGGTCATCAGAAAATAATTACAGCTTCGATAAATTTAGAGCCAGAATGCTGAAATTCTTGATAAAAACTCCAATTGACTCACTCCACAAGCCTATCAAATTTAATCAGAATCGGCAACCTACGATGAGATTGACGACCCACCAAAAACGAAAACTTCACTTTCTTTTTGTGGTGGGTGGGTCAAAAATAATATTTTATTATTATATTATAAAATCATGTTATTTTATTTTATTATTGTCGCTCCTTTGCGAATAAACCTTCAAAACATTTCACTTCCGACACGGTCACGAAATAGCCTTGCTTTCTTTTCTGAATATTATAATCATGGGGTGACTTACGCAGATTTCAGTCATTCATTTTATACATAGAATGAACATAATACGAAATTGATAGGTTCCACTAATGACAGAAATGTGACGATTAGAGCAAATGACTTTAACCCGAGGTTTAATGAAATGTCAACTCCGACACTTTTCTTCGCACTCTGGTACGCCTCCAGCACATGAGAGAATGAGACTTTGGCTGGTGGAATATACGGTCAATGCCTAACGCAATTTGCCGTAATATTCGTCGTTTTCTCTAAAGTGAAATACATCATGTACACGAAACACATTACTCCAGATATTACGTCCCCTCGAAAGGTCCCAAACCTGTCAGCCAACTCACGGCACACATCCGGGTCCGCCACGTATCCGTCCCTGCACCCGCAGGTTCCATCCATGCACTCCGCGTTTTCGTCATCGCAGGGGGCCTGTCCCGTGAGGCATGGACCTCCCAATTCTCCGTCCGCACCTGCGATTGCATGGAGGAACAGGTCGGATAGGCAACAGTGAAAACTTATTAGAGGTGATTACGATGTTCTGATCCAAATCGTCTCTTTCATGTGTTAGGTAGGCCATGTTGTAACATTAACCGCTGTTTCTTCATGTTACGATTGTTTTCTACGAGGGTTGTTCGATATTTTTCCGCGAACCATTTTTTAAATTGACAATAAAAATTGTATCGTCATGAATTTGGTTAATGAGTTCTATTATCTATAATTAGCTATAATTAGCTATTAATTCTATTATCTGTAGGTCCACCGAAGAAAATATTCTTCATGAATTAGACTGCCGCAAAATCAATGCAAAGTGGGTGCTGCGAATTCCGAAAATGGAATCGTTGCTTGTAGGGATTCTGTTGGGACGGTAATGGCCTTTATGACCTTTACGGTGAGAATTTCCTGCGGAAAATCGTGACAGGTGATGAAACACGGTTCCCACTTTTTCAACCCTGAGAGCAAGGAACGAAACCAAGGAATTGCGTCATTCCGCTTCCCCGACATCTCATGCCAACAACAGAAAATCATGACGACGGTGTTCTGGGATGGGGTATTGCTTTGTGATTTCCTTGAACCAAATGCAACCATAAATGCGGAGCGATATTGCCAGTATAACAAAACAAAAAACAAAAAAAAAAACAAAAAACAAAACAAAACAGAAAATGCCCTCAGACGATGCTCGCCTTCGTGTGGCCTCCGCCACCCGACAGAAAACTTTCAGCTTTTTCCAATGAACCGTCGGGCAACACCCTGCTCACAGTCTTCGGACGATCAATTGTCCGGTCCTTTAAGAAGCCGCCGCAATTTGCCTCCGGCAACCGACAGACTTCTTTCCAGGTCTTTCCTTGGTTCACTGGAGATGCTCAAACTGGCATCCACAGCCATTTAAACATTTAAATGACAGTGACAAAATTACAACGACTGAAAGTGCAGGTACATTTTTTTGGACCACGCTGTAAAACTTTGAAATTTAAAAATAGTTTGCAAAAACTTATCGAATAACCCTCGTGCCTCCTAACAGCGGTGGCATGAAGGCATTTAAAATGTCTGACTTCTCGATCATGACCATCAGAAAATATGCTCTGGATCTATCGAAAATAGATACAACATTTTAAGGAGACTAAACTAGATACTTCAACTGCAGAAGTTTTTAGTTCTGACGCTAGAGCCTTTCTGCGTGGGTTTTTCCGTCTCTGTTTAGCCTTTTTTGACGCCTGCCCTGCCATTAGAAGGAACGAATGGGAACGTGCATTTTTCCGTTTCAGAACAATAGAATTGCACGGAAGCGTTAGGAGTCTGCATATGGTATTGCAACGAGTGCATTAGTTACCCTGTCTCTTTTGTGCTAATCATGAATTTAGCTGTGACCTATTAATTCATTCACACAATTTAGCTGTGACCTATTAATTCATTCAGATAGAAATATAAATTATTTCTCATAACTTGATTTGCATTCAAATTATCCTTTATGTTTGGTATCTTAACCACAATCCAATTCAATTGAAATCCAACCGTTAGCCAGAATCGACCATATCTGCTCGCACAATTCGACTTTTTTGTCGCGAAAATTTCCATTATTTTTTTATTCTATTTTTTTCATTATGTTTTTTTTTTTTCACTTGCCATAAATACTCTTCTTTTCTTCCATTTTCACCATAATTTCAAGGTAATACTTTTTTTTTGCTATGAATTTAATTTTTGGTAAGTTGAGCTCATTCAAAATTCAACATGCGAACGAATAAGAAGCACTTTAATTGTAAAAAAATACTTGAAAAATGAGCTTGCAACTATAAGTGCATAAATATCTAAAGAACATCAAAATTCTCTCTTTTTTGAAGGATTCCAAAACTACAACACAAAATTGTTCATCGCCCTTGGTAATGCATGCCAATGCATGTGGCGCGCCGTGGCCATGCATGACTTACATTTTTTAAACGAAAATTCAAAATAAATATTAAAAAAAAAATCAAGATGGAGACCTATGACGAAACCGCAAAAAATTACCCAGGCAACAACTCCAGACTCTCTCAAGGGCTTTTCTAATCTGGCTGATCCTACTTTTCTTGGGTCTCTCTCCTCTCCGAGGAGGCTTATCGCTCATAAGGGAATCGCTGTTCCCGGCTTATCGCTTATAAGGGAATCGCTGTTCCCGGTCGCCTCGCCGAGCGTGGACGTTGACCGGCGAATGCGATTCGTTTTGTTGGCGTCTTCGCACGTGGAATTCTGAGTCGGCCTGCTTGACGATTCTCTTTTTTTTTGCCTCGGGGTGCAGATGATTTCATAATCCATTAATCCGTCTCAATACATTTATTCATCAGCTGTTCAAACATAAAACGCACTTGGGCCCGAATGCGAAAATATTCAGGCGAGATAAATTTTTAAGCTAAAGAGCTCTTTCTCCGCCCCCCATAGGATTCCATGAATTCTTAAAGGGCCGTAAACTAAAGGAGGTTTCAGCATTCAAAGGCCTTTGGTTTTAAATTCATTTCCCCCATGGGATTCTTCGAATTTCTGACGTACGGCTGAGTTTGTATCGATTTGACTGCTCAAAAAAACAAACAAATTGGTTTGACATCTGCTGCTGTGGGGTTGTGGGCTTATTATAATAGTTTTATCGAAACTCATTGCTCAACGCCTGCAACCCAAAAAAAAAGTCGCATGCTCTCTTCATCCGCATAAAAAAAGCTTTCGATGTCGTCGATAGGACACGTTTAATAAAAGTAAAATAGATGAAAGAAAAATATAAATAAATAGAAATAAATAGAAAAGATTTCGGCATCAGGGATCATGCGCTCCTCGTAAGAAGCCCGATCCAGACGGACCACCGACTTTTGCCTCGCGCCTCCTTTCTCATGAGCGCAGGGGTTTTTCCGTCAGAGATTCGCTGAGCCCTCCACTATTATTATCATATTTGCGGGTAATCTCGAAGTCGCCCGAGTGGGATGCCATGGAAGGGAACCGTTCCGTCGTACATGCCGACGACAAGGGGCGTATTTTCCCGACATGATTTGCTGCTATCCGGATCTCGCTCGACTCGCTGAGGGAAATGGTCTTCGGTCGACGGAATCCAGGTGAACACCTCAAAGACCCAATGAAATTCCGAAGAGGCGGCCACTGGCGTGAACGGACGAATTTTTTTTTTTTTAAACGGAACACCGTTGCAGATCGTCCAGGTTTATGAACCCCTCGGTGTCAACTTCCTATCAAAAGGCTGCGTTTCAAGGCATCTTTTCAAGGCATCTTTTCGAGGCATCTCTTCAAGGCATCTCTTCGACATCAAAATGAAGCCTGTTACGATACACGCCCCGAACTCCATCTGGCTTCACACGAGAGACGCCGTTTGCTGAAGACGAGCATTTTTACCCCCGAAACCGAGTCCGCGAACCCATCGCGAAGACAGCCCGCAAGCCAAGCCAAGCCAAGCCAAGCCGGCCCTGACACGCTCAATTCCGATACCGTGACGAAACGCACAGACGCGCCGACCCAACCGCCATGCGATAACACGTCAACTCCTCCCACAAGAACCGTCATTTCCTCAATATAATCTGCAAATAGTCTCCGTCGTCCTGAAACTCATCGACATCTCATGGTCCCAACATCTCATGGTCCCAATATCTCATGGTCTGTCCCGAGAAGTGGGCGAGCGGCGGAAAAATGACGTCACGATAGCCCGAGTGTCTGCGAAAACATAAATATGCTCTTCCTGTCTCGACCGAGACGAAGTAAAGGACCTTCTGGTGACGAAGGCCTAGACCTTAACCAAATGTCATTTCTGCGAGTTCACTGAATTATATTACCAGGCAAAAATATTCGTTCTCATCTGTGAGAAGAAATCATCCGTGGTTTTTTAAGTTCCGTCTAAGACGGGAGGAAGACCGAAAAAATGATTTTTTTTTTGGCCTTGACTGAATGTGTCGACGCTGTTAACATTTTATTGGGGTGATGCCGTGAGTCACGCGAGTCACGTTGTTAGTCATATCGGTGGGACGAACATTACTTATTTATTGAATGAACTTTCGTTGATTCCTTCGGTCCTTCCATTTCAAGCGAGGAAGCCTTCAAGCAATCCAAATCCATCTCGAACAGTTGATTAACTGATTCATCAACTGTTGATTAACTGGTTCATCAACTGTTGATTAACTGATTCATCAACTGTTGATTAACTGATTCATCAACTGTTGATTAACTGATTCATCAACTGTTGATTAACTGATTCATCAACTGTTGATTAACTGGTTCATCAACTGTTGATTAACTGATTCATCAACTGTTCTAGCGGAGGTGGGCGGGAATTTCGATGAGATTTCTCGAAAGACTCGGAGATATCGACCGAGATGAATTTTGCCAACTCCGAAAATTGAATTCGTTTCTGGAGCGAAGGGAAAATTGACTCACGGAGACGTCCGAAAAGGAGTGGGAGGACGGCCAACAGTGCAAAATATGCTAGGCGAAAATTCATGTTTTTTTTGCGGGAGAAATCGTTTCTCGCAAAAATTTTTCACGAGGGAATCCGCGGAGCTCGTCTTTCCGCTTTCGACGACAACGAGACTGTCCCTCGAAGTGCGACTTGTTGACTTTTTCCGCCTTATCTCGAGTGCTGATTTCCTCTGAGATTTTTTTTTTGTTGCGATTTTCGCACTGCGCGCATGCAGGGTGGCGTCGATCGCGTCTCCTATCGTGTTCAGGTGACAAATCGCCACTCGACGGAACGGGAACGTTCTTCGTTCTCCACCTCCAGACTTGGGCGAGTTTATGCTCTCCAGCTCCACCTCCACAAAAAGAAAAAGTAAAACAAAAAAGTTGCCAGAATGTTGATGTTTCCTTAATGCAGGGTGGTGCATAAACATCTCCGGCTCATGACAAATGATCCGTGCTGATATGTTCCCATGGCATCCTGGGCATGTGGAAATTCTCGGACGATCACACAGGAAAATGACATCCGCACTTGTGGGAAATGACGTCGCTAAGATGACCGCCGTCACGCTCGACGCGTTCTCGCGCACGGTCCACTGCGTCTTGCACGGCACGCCGCGGCGTCGCGACGGGCACAGCGGTTTGTGTTTTTTTTTCTCGTACGCGATTTCCTAAAGTCTCTAAGGTCGCGAGGTCGGCGGGGCGATCGGCTGTTACGAGGACGACGATGGCGACACGATTCACCATCAACGCTGCAACTGTCGCAGTCGCTTTCGGACGCGGAGATTCGTCGACGATTCGAAACTTCGCAGGCCGTCGCTGTCGCCAGATTTTCCAGATTTTTTTTTGCTTTGTTTGGGAGGAAATCCGAAGAGCAAGGCGTGCAAAACACGCCCTGCGACTTTGGAGGCTTTCGGAAATCGCAGAGAAAAAAAAACCGCTGTGCCCGTTGCCTTGCGGCGTGTCGTGCACGTTGCAGCGCGCCGTGCGTGAGAATGCATCGAGCGCGACGGCGGCCATCTTAGTGACGTCATTTTCCTCTGTGATGGCCCGAGAATTTCCACATGCCGAGGATGCCATGGGAACAGATATCAGCGCGAAGTCATTTGTGACGTGTCGGAGGTATTTATGAACCACCCTGCATTGTGCATTGCGACGTCGATTTCTTTCGTCTGAGAGACTAGAAAATTTGACGGCGCCGTCGATTTCCTTGGACTGCGCGTCGCCGATTCGCCGAATTTTCCGGCTTTTCGCGGTGCCGTGCGCCCTGCACTTCGCAGCGATTTGGCGTTTTTGCATCGGTGCTTATGGCGTATCCGGGGCAAGATGTTGTTGCCGGAAATCTTGTACGCGCGTGACGGACTTCGTCTTGACATGCTTCTCGACGATAAATATTCCCTGCGGTGGTTTGGGCCGTTGTTTATCTGCTGCAATAGGAAGAAACGTAATGAGATTGTGTATCGTTAGAATTT